GCATGCGTGGGGCCGTGATGGCCATCCGTCCGTGGCTGCAAATAAGACGCGTCGTCCTGCTTCGTGTTCAGATGCTTTGTTCAATATTCAGGTTGCATGTTTTCTGGCGGTGGCATAGGCGGTGGATCGTGTGGTGCTGGACTCGGAATCGGTGGCGTCGTGGGGCGGCGGCTTATGGCGGCGGCGGTCTGGGCGGCGGCGGCGATGGCGGCGGCGGGCTCGGAGGCGGCGGCGTCGGTGGCGTCGGGACTGGGCGGAGGCGGGGAGGGCGGAGGCGGCCTTGGAGGCGGCGGGCTCGGAGGCGGCGGCGAGGGCGGCGGCGGCGAGGGTGGTGGTGGGGATGGCGGCGGAGGGCTGGGCGGCGGCGGCGAGGGAGGAGGCGGACTTGGCGGTGGCGGCGACGGAGGGGGTGGTGAGGGCGGCGGAGGAGAAGGCGGAGGCGGGCTTGGCGGCGGCGGCGAGGGCGGCGGCGAGGGCGGCGGCGGCGAGGGCGGCGGCGTTGACGGCGGCGGCGGCGAGGGCGGCGGCGTGGATGGAGGTGAAGGCGGCGGCGGCGAGGGCGGCGGCGGCGAGGGCGGCGGTGACGGCGGCGGTGGCCATGGCGGCGGCAAGGGCGGCGGGCTCGGTGGCGGCGGGCTTGGTGGCGGCGGCGAGGGTGGAGGTGGCGTGGGTGGCGGCGGCGATGGCGGAGGTGGTGAGGGCGGCGGCGGCGACGGTGGTGGCGCAAGCGGAGGGCTGTTATGCACCACGATGTAGACGTTTGAGTAGAATACCGCCTGCGGGAGGACCGACTGCGATTGCAGCGCACGTCTTTGTCTTGCTCCCTCGAGCTCAAGATCGAGGTCTGCACCCGTTCTGTTTAGCGCTCTTAGGCAGAGTAGATAGGTTCCCGCTGGCTCATGCGTGTTGAGGGGCGACTCGAAATCGTCCGTGTCTTCCCCTGGGTTGGTCAGAACAAGGTCACTGAGAAGCACATACCTTCCAGACCCGGGCGGTTCCTCTTTTCTCTCCACGCGACCGCCGTGGTCTTCGGTGACGCCATCCCATGCGCCATCGACCCGATTCCCAAAGCTGTTTGTGATCGAGAAGGCCGAAGTGTTGAATGCCTGATCACACTCCTTCCCCGGGTGCCGGTTAGCAAACTCCAAGGGAATCCACGTGGCGTAGTCGCCCTCTTTGACGGCGTCGCCCGTGAAGCGCACCGCGTAAAACTTTCTTGTCCAGACGAGAAAGGCAACTGTCGTGGTCACGTTGTCTCCGATAGCAACCTCAACGCGAGGCGGCGGGCTCTGGCGAGGTGAGAGGCGCGGAGACGGAGGGGGTGGCAACGGCG